GGAGGTTGGGGTGGGGGTCCAGGGGGGGGGGTGGCGGGGGGGGGGGCAGGTTTGTGAGTGGGGCTGGGCCGGCCCCAGCCCCTCGTCCAGCTGTGCTGTGGGGCAGGCGAGCACCTCTTCACCGACACGCCGCTGCCCGACCTGGCTGTGGGGCTGGTGCTGCTGGCTGGGTCCCTCGTCGTGCTCTGCACCTGCCTCATCCTCCTGGTCAAACTCCTCAACTCCCTGCTCAAGGGGCAGGTGGCCAAAGCCATCCAGAAGGTCATCAACACTGGTGAGTGGGATGGGGACCGCCGTGGGGTGAGTGGGATGGGACCCCGCCTGCCCCATGGCCACCCAGCCCCAGCCCCACCTGCCATCCTCAGACCCATCCCTGGCTGCCCCTAACCCCCATCCCTGCCTGGACCCCCATGTCCCTTGCCTGCCCCGGATCCCCACTCTGCTTATAGATGTCATGGCCTCCTGCTCTCCACATCCTCCTTCCCCAGCCATCCCGGCCACCAGCCACCAGGCTGGCCCCATACCCACAGCCTGATGCCATACCCAGAGCCTGGCCCCACAGCCCCCTTCCCAGCACCATGTAGGAGCTCTGGGCTGCTCCCAGCTGATGTGTCCATGCCCGTGTCCATGTTTGTGTCCATGCCTGTGCCCGTGGCCGTGCCGTGGCAGACCTCCCGCACCCGCTCAGCTGGCTCACTGGGTACTTCGCCATGGTGGTGGGCGCTGGGATGACCTTCGTGGTGCAGAGCAGCTCTGTCTTCACCTCAGCCATCACACCCCTGATCGGTGAGTCCCGGCCAAGCCTGGTCCCCTGGCACGTGCTGGTCCCCCCAACGATGGCCCATGGGTGCTGGGACGCTCAGAGGCGTGGGAGGAGCCGTGCCTCCCTGGGAGAGTGTGGGGATGGCGCTGGTGAGGAGCGATGGAACGGGATGGGGTGCCTCTCCCACAGGCCTGGGGGTGATCAGCATAGAGCGCGCCTACCCACTGACCCTGGGCTCTAACATCGGCACCACCACCACCGCCATCCTGGCCGCCCTGGCCAGCCCCGGGGACAAGCTGGCCAGCTCCTTCCAGGTACGGGCAGCCCAGGGCCATGCGGGGGCTGGCGGGGGGACATCAGGCAAGACAGGTGCTGGGGGAAGCCTGCGTGCCTGGCCCAACGGGGATGCCATCCCTGCAGATTGCCCTCTGCCACTTCTTCTTCAACATCTCCGGCATCCTGCTGTGGTACCCGCTCCCCTCCCCCCGCCTGCCCATCCGCATGGCCAAGGCGCTGGGCGAGCGCACGGCCAAGTACCGCTGGTTCGCTGTGCTGTACCTCATCGTCTGCTTCCTCCTGCTGCCCTCCCTCATCTTCGGCATCTCCATGGCGGGCTGGCAGGCGCTGCTGGGGGTGGGCGCACCCTTCCTCGGTCTCTTCTTCTTTGTGGGGCTGGTGAACGCGCTGC